AACTATGCAGCGCCATACAGAAACCTCCCAGACGGAGAGCTCACGCTCAGCCCTCCCTGCCGACAGCCCAGCGCTCGGGATTCCCCTCGGAGCCGGCTGTCCCAGGATGCAGCACAGCCCAGCCGCGCGCGGCCCTGGAACGCTGCAGGTCTGGAATTCTTACGATGCAGAGAAAACCTCTTCGCAGCCTCCCCCTCCTTCTCCCTTTTACGCACTAACTCTGGAGCGCTTCCACCGCCGAGGGCTTCGTCCCTGCGCTCTGTTCGGGACCCTCAGCCCGGCGCTGGCCCGGTCCCGCTCCCGGCTGCTCCGCGGGGCTGGGAGAGCGGGGCCGCCGTTCTTTCCCCAGCCCCTCGCTCCCCTCCACCGCAGCCGCCCCGGCGGGAGGCGGCGGGACGAGGAGGGCTCTGAGCAGCCCCTCAGCCCCGGCCGCCCCCGGTCCCGCCCGCTTCCCTCCCGCCCGCGGCCTTACCCTTGGCCAGCGCCACCGTGGAGTTCTCGGTGTCGATGGTGTACAGGATCCCCTCATAGCGAATCTCGGCCTTGGAGATGAGGCTGATCTTGCTCCCGATGTAGGGCGTCCCCCCGCTCATGGCGCTGCTCCTCGGTCAGGGACACCCCTCCTCCCCCCCCGCCGAGCGCTCCTCCAGCCGGGCACCGGCCGCCCAGCGACCTCGGCGCAGAGGCGCGGCAGGCGCTGTTCCCCCGCGGCCCCGAACGCCGCTCCCCGATAAACGCAGCGCCCAGTGCGGCCCCGGCGGAGCCTCAGCACGGCCCGCGCCCCGCGGCTCCCAACATGGCCGCCGCCTTCGCCTCGCTCGCCCCCCCGCCCGGCCCGCCGGGGGCATGCCGGGACCGCGCACTTCTCGCGAGAGCGCCGGGCGGGGCCGCGACGGGCGGGGCGGCCATTGGGGCCGAGCGGGAGAGGCACGGACGGAGCGGTGGGGCCGGACCGACCGGCACCGAGCAGGCTGGACCGGACCGGACCGACCGGCACCGAGCAGGCTGGACCGGACCGGACCGACCGGCACCGAGCAGGCTGGACCGGACCGGACCGACCGGCACCGACCAGACCGGCACCGGCGGAGCGGGGAGGGGAGCGGCGGGGCCGGGATGAGCGGCACCGACCGGCTCTGCCCGGCACCGACCGGCTCTGCCCGGCACCGACCGGCTCTGCCCGGCACCGACCGGTTCTGCCCCCGGCCGCCCCCGGGTTCCCCCTCCCCGTCCCGTGAGCACCGGGCAGTGCCGGCAGGTTTGGTGATTTGGGGTCCAGGGTGTCCGAGGGCCCCGAGCCGCCTGGAATGGCAAATCCCGGTGATTGTAGAAGCGGTTTGTACAAGTTCAGGACGCAGCCGTGTGGAGAACTGCAGGAGTGTAGGTGGGGATAACACGGGTTTGTGTTCCACAGGGATCCCATTTTACTCTGCTGATGGTGTTGGGAGAGTCAGATCTTGCCGGCCAACAGAAACACAACTGTGGATGAAATCTCGACCAAAGAGTGGAATTCATCCTGAAAAAATACTCTTTTAGTACAGGTAAACACACACACACGCACAAAATCATGATTTTGAGATTGCACTCAATTTCTACATCTTAAATAAAAATCACAAATAAGGCTTCTGCTGGAAGCTTTGCCTGTTAAAACACGGTACAGGCCCCCCTTTGGTATTTACAGCCTGGAAAACAACAAAGACCAACCTCTGGAAGGGGGACTTAGTAGCTTTTGTTGCAGCTACTGGACATTAATATGTTGCAAAGATTCAGCAAGTATTTTGTTCAGAATAGGGCTTTGAAATGCAATAACAAGCCAGATTTTTCCAGAAAGTGCCTGTGTGTTTCTAAATGGGAGCCAGAATAGAGTCCTGGGAACTTTGTGCCCAAGCTGAACTGACGGTAAAGTCATGGAGGATTCGAGTGCCCGGGGAGATTTGCTGTAATCACTTCCAGCATGTCCTGGACTACTTCAAAGACTTTGTAGCGAAGTTCTGCAGTTAATGACTGATAAACCATATCAAGTCCATGGGAGACCACTGCAGACAGTTTGCATTTGTAACTCAGCTCAAGTAAAGCCACTCTTTAGAAAAGTAACAAAGACACCGATATTCTGTTACAAGGAAAGAGGCTGGTGTGGCTGCTTCTGAAGCAGGGCAAAATGACATCTGCTGGAGGAGGTGGAGAGCCTGGAAAGAGTCTGGAGGATCAGCTCTGATTTTCCTGCCTCCTCACAGAGGGAGATGTATCCGCTTCAGATGTGGGTAGGGCAGGTCACAGGGCAGCCCTGGCTCCTAGAGAGAGGGGACAGCAGGAGGAGAAGGGAGGAAGGAAGGGTGGTTCTGACGTGACAGCCCAGAGAAGGGGAAGAGGAATACCTTGAAATAGAACCGTTTGCCCCAAAGAATCACATGGCTTTGCTTCTGGTGAACAACTTCCTAAGTCCTCCCTCATCTGCCTCTCAAAACTGGAGTTGAAGACTCCCATTTACAGAATTAGGGTTCCAAGCTTGTGTGGTTGGAACAGGAAATAGAAATAGACATTTATTTGAGCTCAGGACACAGTAAATGAGCATTTCAGGAGAGAATTCAAGTGGAAAACTGTCAGAGTTTATTTTTCACGGAATCACAGAGTGGGTCAGGTTGGAAGGGACCACATTGAGTCATCTGATCCAGCAGGGTCATCCCAGAGCACACAGCACAGGATTGTGTCCAGATGGTTCTGGAATATCTCCAGTGAGGAGACTCCACACCCTCTCTGGTCTCTGTTCAGGGTTGGGTCACTGCCCAGCAAAGAAGTTCTTCCTCATGTCCAGGTGGAACTTCCTGGGCATCAGTTCCTGCCCGTTCCTCCTGTGCCATTGCTGGGCCCCCTGAGCAGAGCCTGCTCCATCCTCTGCCCCCTCCCTGCACACACTGACAGACATGGATGGGGTCCCCTTCCAGTGTCTCCTCTGGAGGCTGAACAGGCTGGATGCTCTTTTCTGAAACAACTTGCAAGTTTCTGGAAGAGAGAAGTTGGCCAGAATGAATTAAAAAAAAAAAAGTTAGGAATAGAAAACAACTCCCTTGAAAAACTTAAGGGTTAAATTGTAGCCTTTTGATGTCAAATATTCCTGAGCCTCTCCATCAAGTCCTGTCTAGGTGAGTAGAGAAGTATTTACAACTAACTTGAAGAGCTCCAAAATTTCTACAAGTCATATATAAAAATGAAATTCCTTTGCAACTGAGATACATGAAACTGAATTTAAACATATTCTGCCCTCCAAGCAGTTGACCTGGGTTTGGTGAAGGGTCTACAGCAGAAATCTTATGAGGAGGGGCTGAGGGAGCTGGGGGGGCTCAGGCTGGAGAAAAAGAGGCTCAGGGGGGACCTTCTCACTCTCACAACTCCCTGACAGGAGGGGGGAGCCAGGTAGGACTTAGGCTCTGCTCCCAGGGAACAAGAGACAGGACAAGAGGGAATTGGCCTCAAACTGTGCTGGGGGAGGATCAGGTTTGAAAACAGGAAAAATTTCTTCACAGAAAGGGTGGTCAGGTGCTGGAACAGGATGCACAGGGCAGTGGTGGAGTCCTCATCCCTGGAGAGATTTAAAGATGTGTGGATGTGGCACTTGGGAACATGGTTTTGTGGTGACCTTGGCAGTGCTGGGGGAATCTCAGAGGTCTTTTTCAACCTAAACAGTTCTATGCTATTCCTAGGACAGCTGCTTGTTTTCTAGTCATCTTTGTGCTCTCCAATGTTGGGAATTTATCATTTCTAAGTCATACTTAAAATCAGCAGTTAAAGGAATATTTTTATAGTGTAAAGTAAATTTCAATAATAGAGGTAAAGAGTTCTGTAAGTTCACTTTAAGAAGTTATCTCAAAATCTGATTTGAACCTGGTAGGTACCATCTTGATGTTAAATTTAAACTTAAGGTAGTTGAATTGTATATTTGAAGGCACTGAAAGCGTGTATTTTAAAGAAATACAGAACCAGGACAATAGTGCTCCTTTCTAAGCACTTTCACTTCTTTAGAAGACAAGAAGCTGTTTGTCTCTGTGACCTGTTATCACTGTGCAGCTGAACATGGCAGAGGGATCCTATTGTGTACTGAGTTATTGATGACAAACCTGGGCTGGAAACAGGGCACAGGGTTTAGCAGTGTAGAGAGCTGAAGAGCAGCTCAGCAAGTTCTGTGGTGGATTTTCTTTCACAAGCAATTTTAAAACCATGGTTGGAAGTTAACTTCCCTAAAGACTATTCTTTATATTTTATTTTTTATTTTTTTTAACATTCTTTACATATATAACTCCTAAAAATGAAAGAGCAATAAATATGTTCAGAAATGTTTTCTGTGATGAAACACACGTGAATATTTGAAAAGTAATTTTATAGCAGAAGAATGAATAAAAAGTTCACAGAGATTCTGTGCTTTACTAGAACTCTCATTCTCTATGTGAAAGCTCAAGCCCAAAACCACTTTCAGCAGCAAGTTTATAGACATTCTTAGATATGTCCTCACCTCTTGACTTGAAAGCAGTCCAGTGTGAGTCACTGTACATCATGTTTTATTAAACAAAACATTCCTTACTCTGTGTGTTTATATATATATATAAAATGGCTCAATTCAGAAGAGATGAGTGGGAAGAAATACTAATAAATGTTTTATAGATTTTGCCACCCACAAATATCTGTTAACATTTTAATACTTGCCATTTTCTCCTTCCGGTGGGAATGTGACTTTTATCTTCTGAAGTTAAAAAGCAATAAAGTTTCCTCCAGGGTGGTTTTTATAGAAACACCCAGTTTAATGCCACAGAAAAATGGACATTAAAATTTGTTTCATAGTCAGTACTAATTGCAGAATCACATGTCTAACTTTCCATTCTTTTATGAAAACTCTGGAGATGGTGGTATGCAAATGAAGCCCAGGATCAGGGCAACTGAGGGATTAGTGAAATGTTCTCTGATAAAATCAATAAAATGTATGACTCATAACATAGTGGTATTGGATAGACTGATATTTTTCCCGACCCAAATTATTCTTTCTATTTGTGCAATAGCAAATTGAGTCACAGCATCTACTATGTTTTAATTAAATTTCCAGCTAGAAACATTTGTTAAAAATCAAAATTTAATTCAACTGTAGCACTCCACAAAAGCAATACTCATTTGCTAAGCAAATTTTTGATGTATAGAGCTCTTGTGTACATTTAATGCTGCCTTTCATAACCACTGCTGTGCTTTCCCATTCACTTACTGCACCATCTCCTGCTCATACATCCTGACCAAACCTTTGGGCTTTCAGTATTTTACTGGCCACTTTATTGAAGAAATATGCACTGGTTTAGTTTCAAGAGACATTTAAACTTATCCTAATTAAACTGGTGCAACCTGTATTTAATGCATTTTAACAGTGGTTTATTTTGATTCATCACAAACCTGCTCCTAAAGGACAATCAGGAAAAACTATCCTGAATAAAAGTATGACCTTCATTGAGAGGAAAGAGAAGGTAACAGAGCAGTTGAGTGTGGTGACTCCAGAGGGTTGTACAGGGTATGAACAGGTGGAGTTGGGACTGGAGAGGAGCTGAGTGCACTGAGAGCCCTTCACTTGCTCCCACCAGCGCAGGGAGCAATCGAAGGGGGGTTATTCACTGAGACACCTGACTCAGTTTTTTGGGAAATCCTGAAAAATCAGAAAATGAAGAGTGATTCACTGTTTCAGACCACAGAGCAGCAGCTCAAGCACAGCTCAGTTACCGTCCCACCTGCTATTGCAGGGCAGCAGGGACAGAGCTGCAATCCAATCTCTGTCTGCTGCCTGGAGCATAAATCTGTGAGGATTCCCCATCATAGGGGGAGACTTTTTATTTGGAGGGTCCCACCAAAGACACTGCCCTGTCATTAGTTATAAAAATGATGATTTAGGACCACCGTCTTTCTCTTAAATGGTATTTCCGAGTGCGAGAGGAAGTGTCCATGGGAAAAGGGCACACAGGAGCGCAATGGCCAAAGTGTTAGTAACAAAATGAACTACCTTACATCTCCCGTGGGGATGCTGCGGGATCAGCACACCGCAGCAGCTGCTGTGGCGATGCAGAGAGTCTTATTTTTGGTTTACAAGTCGTCGTCTTCCAACAGCGTCCCCGCTAGGAAATCGTATCACCGCAGCCGCTGTGGTGCGGGAGAGCAGCCTGTTCGGACACACCGCCTGCAGCGCACACGGAGCGGTGCAGCCGTGGGGCGGAGGGGCCGGGGCAGCTCCCGCGGCGCAGCTCCCGCCCAGGGGCCGGTGCGGGGCAGCCCAGGCGGGTCCGTCGGTTCCCCCGGGCGGGCCGGGCCGGGGCGGAGGCGAAGGGCACGGGAGGGCACCGGGCTGGGCCCTCCCCGCGGGGTCCCTGTGGATACCGGGGGACAGGGGCTGCTCCACATCCCGCACCCCGCGGCAGAGCCCGGCACGCGGTGCTGCCCGCGGCTTCTCCAGCGGCACCGCAGCGGTCCCGGGGATGGCACACGGCGGACACGGGAGCGGTGTCTGAGGCGGTCCCGGTCAGTCCCTCGGGGGGACACAGATGGACACTTGGGCGGTCCCGGCTGTTCCCGCTCCAACTCTGGCTGTTCCCGGTGTTCCCAGCCCGTCTCTGGCTGTTCTCCGTCCGTCTCTGGCTGTTCCCAGCCCGTCTCTGCGTGTTCCCGGTGTTCCCAGTCCGTCTCTGGGTGTTCCCGGTGTTCCCAGCCGGTCCCTGGCTGTTCCCGGTGTTCCCAGCCCGTCCCTGGCTGTTCCCAGCCGGTCTCTGGCTGTTCCCGGCGTTCCCAGCCGGTCTCTGGCTGTTCCCGGTGTTCCCAGCCGGTCCCTGGCTGTTCCCAGCCG